CACCCTCTAGGTCTTCCTCCTCTCCCTCCCCCCGATCGAGCCACCCCTTTCCCCCCTGACCTCCCCCCCTGAATTTTGCCCCCCTTTCCCCCTAAAATTTAGCCCCCTTTTCCCCCCCCCTGAAATTTCTCCCCCTCCCTGTCCAGACCCCGTCCTCCCCCCTCTGAAATTTTCCCCCCTCCCCCCTCCCTGATCCAAGACCCTCCTCCTCCCCTCTAAATATTTCCCCCTTTCCCTCCCCCTCATTCCAAGACCTCCTTCCCCCCCCCTGAAGATTCCCCCCCCCCCTCATCCAAGCCCTCTCCTCCCCTCTGAAATCTTCCCCCTTTTCCCCTCCCCCCTCATCCAAGGACCCCTCCCCCCTGATCCAATTACCCCCTCCCCCCCTACCCTCTTCCCCACCCACCTTCATTCTCCAACGTTCTCTATGTAAGCTTCTGTGTCGATCATTATTGCAGTCTTGCAATGCAACCGCATTTTGAATTATTTTGTGTTCATCATCATTATGCCTTTCGAACTTTGAACTATATATATCTTTTTTTATCTTTACTTATTTGGGTTTACATCCATAATGGGATAATGAATGAAAAAACACGAAATATTAAATTGTGAAAGCAGCGAGGGAGGAGGGGAGCAGGAGGGCGGAAATTTAGATGGAAGAAAGAAAGGAGAGAGGGAAAAGGAAAGAAGGGCGAGGGGAGGGGGAATAAAGATGGGGAAGAAGTGAGAGAAAGGGAGAGGGGAAGGGAGAGGGGAAGGGGGCAGGGGAGAAAGAGAGCATGAAGGCGGTAGGGGAGAATGAGAGGGGGTTGGGGAGAGGGAAGGGAGTAGGAGAGAAGATAGAGAAGGGGGTAGGGGGAAAGAGAAAGAAAGGCGGTAGGGGAGAAAGAGAGAAGAAAGGGTAGGGGGAAAGACGAGAAGGAGGAGTAGGAGAGAAAGAGAGAAAAAAGGAGTAGAGGCGGAAGCCCACAAGAAAGGGGTTGGAGAAAAAAGAGAGAAGGAGAGGCGATAGGGCGACGAAATAAGAGAAAGGCAAGCGACTTAGAGGAGAAGGAGAGGCGACATGGGGCATGCACCCTCTTTATCGTTGTGGAAATAAAATTATTTCTCAATGCGGGGGATGATAGGGATCTGGCGGTCCCGTGATTTGCCCAAGGTAACATCGCGAGAAACAATGATCATATTACCTGTAACGATCGCTGCGGCCACACGGTAACGGTCCGAGGAGGAGGAGGAGGAGGGCGGAGGAGAGGTAGCCGAGCGAGGAGGAGGAGGAGAGGAGCGCCTGGGAGGAGAGAGAGGAGGCCCCAAAGTCACTAGTAGTAGCACTCGTAGTAGATGGTAGCCTGCGATTAGTAGTAGTGGAGGAGGAGAAGGAGACAGGAGGAGTAGCAAGGAGTAGGAGGAGGAGCTAGCGAAGGAGTTAGGAGGGGAAGGAGAGGAGGGAGAGAGGAGGGCGAGCTAGTAGTAGTATAGTAGTAAGAGAGAGGAGGAGAAGGAGAAGCTAGCAGTGCGGAGAGAGAGGAGGGGAGGGAAAAGGAGGGAGTGGCGAGGTCGAAACTACGACAAGAGAGGAGACGGAGGAAGAGACGGGGAAAAGGAGAAGGAAGACAAGAGGGGGAGCACCGGAATTTGATATAAAACGCAATTAAAAACTTCCTACACGTCCATTACATATCTATTAGCAATAATCATGGTAATAATTATAATAGCAACAACAATACAGAAGATAAATAATTGTAACAATAATAAACACATGATACAAGATAATAGCCACTATAACAAGGAGATTAACACGCAAAAAATCCATCTCCCCCCTCCCTACCCCTCCCCCCTTAAGGATCTGCCCTACAAATCGACTCAACTGTCCTACCTCGCAAACTGATGACCACCGAATGACCACCTGCATTCTCTATGCCCGATGCTGTCACTTAGTCTCAAGGTCCCTTCGCCCTTATTTTTGGGCAGAGGGAGTTGGAGTGTGCGCGTGGGGGGTCGGCTGCCGCGCTAGGGTGGCTTGAGTGGGTTGGGCGTGGCTGAGAAAAGAGGGACAGGAGAGCGATTAAAAAGATGACAGGAGCAGGCGGCAGATTGACAATAGGGAGAGGGATCAGAAGAAAAGGTCTGTCGATAGGCGGTAAATGAGATTCTACTATAGAAAGAGAGAGAGAGAGAGAGAGAGAGAGAGAGAGAGATAGAGAGGAACTGAGAGAGAGAGACGAGAGAGAGAGGAGAGTGAGAAGAGAGACAGACTGCGACGAGAGAGAGCAGAGAGGAGGAGCAACAAGCGCCGCGCGAGTACTAATAAAACCCACTTGAATAACATCCTCGAATTCAGCCCCACTCACAACCACCAATCCTTCTTCCACGACAACCCAAGAAACTGGTTTACATCCCCCCCAATCGATCTCAACACGGCATCGCGATCAGCCGTGCCGGCCCAAGGGAGTCCAATTCCTTATACAATCGGCGCGACCTTGCTATCAGAATCGTCTATAAT